ATTCTAAGGTAACAAACACACAACGATTCTTATTTTCAGGTGATTAAACACTAATGAAAACATACCTATAAATATTATATTACAATAATGTGACACTGGAGCTTTATAATGTCTTATATGATCTCAATATGATTCTGACAGGTCTTAATAATTAATTGGATTAATGAGGGTAACAATGTGTTTTTGGCAGAGAATAGTATTGATAATGCTGCAAAAACTACAAAACAAAACCAACATGGAACCAATACAGATTTTCCTTCATATACTTACTAAAATAATGTCTTAAACTGTGTTCAGAATGGTCTTAAAAGGTCTTAAATTAAATTAAAGCTTCAGTGTGTCACATCACTGGAATATAATATCCATAGGTTTGTTTTCATTGTTTATAATCAGCTGATAATAAGAATTATTATGTTTTCGTTACCTGAGAATGAGACGTTTTTATCTACAGAGGGAGCGGGTCCTCTTCTGGCAGAGTCCGCCATGTTTCTACCCTAAATCCAACTCACTGGTCCTTTAAATGTTCAAAGATTTGAGCTGCATTTTACTTTAAATCTGGCTGTAAAGCAGAAATAGTCTGATACCTGCCTTCAGGTAGAAGCAGGTGAGTTTTCCCGCCTGTTTAGAAGCGTGTTAATGCCAAGTATAAAATGAGCCACATCCTGAGCTTTGCCCACGATTATGACCCTCAGCGTCGGTTGTTAACACCTTGAATTATTTCCTCCAATGTACAAGAAGTTTGTCCCGCCTTGGCTGCGATCTGTTTCTCTCACAATCATTCCGCGGGAAGCACTGCCTTTGTCATTTTTCTAACGCTGATCTCTAACAGAAGAATAAAAGCATTCCATGTTTCACTCACCTCTCGGCTCCTTCTTTCACTTCATCATCTGAAGAAATAAACAACTCTTATTCCACTGTTTGTATTTTCAACTATTCACATAATTCATCATTTTACACTTTAAATAAGAAAAAAAATCCAAATTACAGTTTGGTTGTTTTTCCCCAACAGCAGCAACAAACATCTGTTGACTCAAAAACTATTTACATGAACTGTACAGGAGAGAATCTAACAACTCATTAAACGTCCTGTTTGTATCTGAAAGGAGAAACAGAAGAAGAAAAAGCTACTTGTGAGCAGAATTCAGTTAAACTTGAACTACAGGTGAAAGAAAATCTGTACAGACGTTCACAGACCCAATCCCAACGTCCCTCTGAAAGTCCCAAACCCTCACGGACGACATATCGCGTTACCTTGATGACACCAAAACATTTAATTATTCACTTTCTTCACAGCCCAGAGGCACTTACCGCCTGACCTGAAGCTGATTTGCCATATTTCACATCAGAACGCTATGAACTGTGGGTAATTCTGTGGGCAAAGTCTGCACTTGTATAAAGTTGCATTTTTCAGTCTTAAACATATTTTTGGGCAGAGAATTGCAACGAATAAGCTACAGAACGAAGCTGACATGGAACCAAAATGTTAACATCAGTAAAATGTTTAGGAAGGCCTAAGAAGAATCTTACACGCTACATTCAAGATGTTAAAATGTCTTCTCATATTAACATAAATGTGTTACATGTTAGCATGTTAATATCCTAAATGTGAACCTGCTAACTTCAGCATGCTAACATGCTAAATGTCAGTATCATCTGGACACGCTGCGGTTAGGAATATTATGTTAACCTGCTACATTTAGGTTGCATGTTAACTTCAGCATGTTAGCAGAGAGTAATATGTAAACATGTTAGCATTATAGCATCCTAAATATCCCAGTATCTTAACCTCAAAGTCTGAGTGTGGACGTTGGGATTGAGCCGCGGACCGGAGGAGGAACCCTGGTGACTCTGATGTGGTTCAGACTGAGGTTCCCCTAAGAATGAACTCAGGTGATCATCATCAATACCTCAGCTGTAATTTGTGTTTGATGCTATTCAGCAAACATTTACATGATAAACACTGAGATAGTTAGCATGCTGAAATTAGCATTCAACCCACTCTTGAGCAGGAGATACTCTCACTTTTTAATGCAATCGGGGAGTTAAAAGCATTTACATCTCTGGTCTTAGTCTTGTTAACAGTTCAATGTAGTCCATAGGATTCTGATGTTGTAGGACGGAGACTCATCGTATGCTTTAGATCACCGGTTCCCAACCTGAGGTCTGGGAGCCCCTGAAATAAACATGAGGAGTGATTAAAGATAATAAGAAAAAGTCTGAAAAGTTTTCTTCAGAAATACTGAAACGTCACGTTGGGACCTAAAAATCCTTCAGATCAAACAGCTAAACTTTAACCTGGAGACTGTCAGCGGCCTCAAGTAGACCGCTGGATTTTAAGGGGTCACAAGATAGAAAAGGTTGGGAACGGCTGATCTAAAGCGCCGTGAATCAGCCTGATGTACTGCAGCTTATCCAGAGGGATCCTGAAACCCGGTTTATATTTATATCTTCGTTGTTGAAAGGTTCCTTTCTGTGTCCGTATGTCCACGAGGTGTATTTTCAACCTATTCACTACATAAACAGTCAGCAGAGTACAAAAACAGCCCCGGTCGATCGGCATCGGCCCGATCGATCTGCAGAGTCATCCGCTCGGCTCCTGTTCGTCAGCGGCTGACCGACAGATTTCAAAGTGAACGTCTGTTTCCCCTGAAGGCGGATTGTCCTTCCATAAGAAGCTCACCGTTTTGAAGAGTTTGTACCAGTTTGTCTCTTCAGCTCAGCACTGATGAGTTCCTGCTGCTGAGTCCAGTTTCATCGAGTCTGCAGAGAAACAGCCACATTAAATGGGCAAGCCACCAGTTTTACATGGTAAAATCTGGTTATTATTATCCAAAATCACTAATTAATTACAGAGTTTAAAGGGACTTCTTGATTTTAGGGGGATTAGAAAACTTCTACAATAATCTAAATCTCTGTGTGGTTAATTTCTGTGAATAAAAGTAAATTGACAGAACAATGAGAAGAATATACAAGATTACATTTTAGAATAATTATTTTTTTTAGATTTAGATTACAACTTTCTGAATATGTGACGGTAAACTTTGTTTTACAGGTCTGTTATTTCCTAAAAAGAACTTCTAAGACATGAATTAGTTCTATTAGTTATTATCAAACACAGAGTCCGTTCACAGGTTTGAGCTGAAGAATTCAGTTGTTTTGTGTAATGTGACGATATTCATTCATTTATTAATTTTTTTGTTCTACTACAGTCACTAATCAATAATCTGATGCTGCTCCTCTTTTCCTCAGCAGTAAATCTAATCTGTGAACTCTCTGTCACACACACACACACACCTCGTTTAAAATCCCGGTCTGAAGACCTGCTGTGCACCGATTAAATGATCTGTTAGACTAGCATTTAACACCAGCAGTTCATTGGGATTAATTCATCAGAAGGGAACCAATTTCCTATAATTAGTGCCAAATTACAGGTTACGTTCCAGGAAGCTGTAAAATAAAGAGTAAGTAAGCTTCTTTCTCTTCAGCTGCAACAGAAACGTTTCTGCCTTTTTGACTTAACCAGCTCCAAACCATTTCAGAAATATCAAATATGTCAACACACTCTGTTAAAGACCCCGTTCTTCAGTTTGTTTCAGGTGGACGAGCGGCTCCCACAGAGCATCGCTGTGTTGTTTGTGTTCGTGAGATGCTCCTGAACCTCCCTCGTGGCTCAGCTCGACCCTAAAAGAGGATCATAGAGGAGCCCCCCCGAGGGGAGCCATGCCACCAGGGGACGTCCTGGTGCTCTTACCGTCCGTCCTTCTGGAGGTTTAACTACTCATTAAACACACAGCAGCTCTCAGCCAATCAGCCTGGCAGGAAGGATCTGTGTGATCACAGGAAGATAACGGCGCGCATGTTTGGGATTAAACCTAAAATCAATCAGTCCTCCACCGGGTTCAGCTCGTATTTTCACACTGAGGCTCTGCAGCAGTAAGACACGATCACATGTGAGATTTAACCAGAACAACCTCACTCCCGGCAAAACCCCCCCTCCCCTCGCTTTTACCTTTTGTGGTATTCTCAGGTGGCGTCCAATCCGATGTGTGTTCCTAACTGGCGAGGGCCGGGAGGGAGAAGCTGTCTTTGTATCTGCAGGAGGAGAAAAATGAAGCAAGTGAGAATGAAAGTGCAGCTGCAGCAACTCAGAGAGGAGATCACATCCTGCAAACGTGTCCAAATACAGAAGAGCTGAGGAGGATCGTCCCTGCAGGTTCCTCCAGCATACATCCCTCAAATACACTGATCAGCTTTGTTTCTGATGTTCTTCTGTTCCTATTATTTCTTGTTGTTCTTGCTGGAAGCAGATTCATTCAGATTCATCCTTAAATAATGAAACAGTCTTTTCTGCCTCAGTTAAAGATGTTCAGCTCCTCCGAGGGTGAAGCTTCAGACACTTTTATTACATTTCTGGGGATGTTTTTTGTAACGGGATGATAACAGATGACAGATGTGATCCAACTCAGACTGTGAGCTGAACTGTTCCTCTGCAGCACAACGAACAATGTGTTTCATATCCAAGGTTCACAGTCATCATCGCACTAACAGCGCAGCTACCAACAAACTAAATATACATCTAAAGGTTTAGTAAAACATTTCCAGGGAAACATCGATTATTTCCAGGATATTTGGGGATTTTAATTAGTTTTCAGGTGTTAAACTGGTCAATAAATGTCCAGGTTTTAAGGTTTAACCCTGTTGTTTCAGCATCACCAGCACCAACCACACTGAAAGGTCCAGCGTATCGTAGGTTTCATTAGTGTCCAGAAGGGACAAACCCTGGAGATTACACCTCTCCACTACCTGGACAACAGTTTTCTGCTGTCCATCAGAATCACTCAGACCAAACTTTACGGTTTCTGTCGAAGATCAACTGCTGCAGAGGGGAAGACATCACATCGTAGTTCACAGTATGACTGACGAGTTATCTCAGAGGAGTCTGACAGGAAGTACTGATTTCATTATTTATATGTGTATA